TGAGCCGTCCCACATTTGCATGCAGAAAAACCTGTGGGAACAACTGGGAAGCAAGACAAACCACACAACCCAGGGTTCCAGTGTGGGGAAATAAACCTTCAAAATCTCTGACTGAGAAAACCTGTGGGGATTGAGGAGGTGTGAGAAACTCCCAGGCTCATAACAGAGTTCACTGGAGAGACCCACAGGGTCCTAGAATGTACACAAGCCCACCCACCTGGGAATCAGCACCAGTTTACTTGTGCATAGCAGCAGAAGTGACTGAAAGCTGGCAGAGAGCTGAGCAACTGGCATTGTTCCCTCTTGGACCTCTCTACCCACATACAGCGCCACAGTGCAGTGATGTGGCTCTGCCTCCTTGAATATCTAAGGCTCCACCCCTTACTACATAACAGGTGCACCGAGACCAAAAAAAAAAAAAAAAGAAAAAAGAAAAAAGAAAAAAACCAACAACAATGGCCCAAATGAAAGAACAGATCAAAGCTCCAGAAAAAATACAACTAAACAACAAAGAGATAGCCAACCTATCAGATGCATAGTTCAAAACACTGGTAATTAGGATACTCATAGAATTGGTTGAGTATGGTTGCAAAATAGAAGAAAAAGTGAAGGCTATGCAGAGTGAAATAAAAGAAAAGGTACAGGGAGACAAAAGTAACAGGAAAGTAACCAGGACTCAAATGAATGGTTTGGAGCAGAAGGAAGAAATAAACATTAAACCAGAACAGAATGAAGAAACCAGAATTCAAAAAAAATGAGGAGAGGCTTAGGAACCTCCAGGACAACCTTAAATATTCAAACATCTGAATCATAGGGGTGTCAGAAGGAGAAAACAAAGAGAAAAAATTGAAAATATATTTGAAAAAATAATGAAGGAGAACTTCCTTAATCTGGCAAAGAAACAGACTTCACGAAGTCCAGGAAGCTCAGAGAGTCCCAGAGAAGTTGGACGCAAGGAAACACACACCAGGGCACCTCAGAATTACATTAGCCAAGATTAAAGAGAAGGAGAGAATCTAAAAAGCAGCAAGAGAAAAGGAGACAGTTACCTACACAGGAGTTCCCATAAGACTATCAGCTGCTTTTTCAAAAGAAACCTTGCAGGCAAGAAGGGGCTGGAAAGAAGTATTCCACATCATGAAAGGCAAGGACCTATATTCGAGATTACTCTATCTAGCAAAACTATCACTTGGAATGGAAAGGCAGATAAAATGCTTATCAGATAAGGTCAAGTTAAAGGAATCCATCATCACCAAGCCCTTGTTATATGAAATGTTAAAGGGACTTATCTAAGAAAAAGAAGATGATGAAAAATATGAACAGTAAAATGACAACAAACTCACACTATCAAAAACTGAACCTAAAAAACAAAACAAAACAAAAACAAACTAAGGAAACAACTAGAATAGCAGAAGTAGAGATCACATGGAGGGTTATCAGTGGGGAAGGGAGGTAGGAAATGGGGGAAAAGGTACAGGGACCAAGTAGCATAAATGGTAGGTAGAAAATAGACACGGGGAAGGTTAAGAATAGTATAGGAAATGTAGAAGACAAAGAACTTATATGTAGGACTCATGGACATGAACTAAGGTTGGGAATATAGGTGGGAGGGGGGTGTGCAGGGCGAAGGGGAATCAGGGGAAAAATGGGATGACAACTGTAATAGTGTAATCAATAAAACATACTTAAAAAAATGAAAAGACAGCTTACAGAATGAAAGAAAATATTTGTATGTCACATAACTGACTAGAACCATGTATCCAAACTTTTACAACTGAACAATAAAAAGACAAGTAATCCAATTTTAAAATAGGCAAAGTATTTGAATAAGCATTTCTCCAAAGGATATATATATATATATATATATATATATATATATATATATATATATATATGGCTCAGAGGCACATGAAAAGATGTTCAACATCTTTAGTCATCAGGGAAATGCAAACCACAACCACAACGAGATACCATACCACAGGATGGCTTAAATAAAAAAGAGACAATAGGTATTGCCCAGGATATGGAGAAATGGGAACCCGGGCCCCACTGCTGGTGGGAATATAAAATGGCACAGCTGTTTTGAAAAACAGTTTGGCAGTTTCTCAAGTTAAATGTAAACTTCCATATGAACCAGCAATTCTCCTCCTAGGTCGACACTAAGAGCACTAACACATATGTCCGCACAAACTCTTGCACATGAATGTCCAAACTCTTGCACATGAATGTCCATGGCAGCCTCATTCATAACATCTCTAAAGTGAAAACAACCAATGTCTATCAATTGATAAATGAATGGGCAAATATGGCATCTCCATATAATACACTACTATTCAGGCATAAAAAGGAATATGCTGCTATAATATGGATAAACCATGAAAACATTATGCTAAGCAAAAAAATCAGAGACACAAAGGTCACATATTGTATGATTCTATTTATATGAAATGTTGAAAATAGGCAAATTCACAGACACAAAAAATAGATTGGTGTTTTCCGGGAGTTTAGGGGGAGAGGAGGAATGGGGAGTGACTGTTAATGGGTATGAAGTTTCTTTCGGGGTGATGAAAACGATTTAAAATTAAAAGTGGTGAAGGTTGTACAACTTTGTGACTATAATAAAAAAGGCTCAATTCTGTGTTGTGTGAATTAAATTCTTAGTAGTTATTAAAGAGTCACCCCTCTAGGTTTCTGGGATCTGGAAAAAAATCCCTTTGTGGAGTTAGCATGCACACAACACTGTTCAGAGTACACTTGTTTCCACAGATTCATTCCTGCAAACATCTAGCGGGGAGAATGTCAACTATGAGAACCCTTCTCACTATGACCATGAATTTCCTTTTTAAATTGTGTCTCTGGAAGAACCCTCCATTTTCATTGTAAATTCATTTTGAGATGGGGCAGGCTCTCTATGCCTTCAATAATTTTTTATCCTATTAAACTGAGATGATCATACTCATAAATTGTAGCGATCATGTGAATTGTTACAGTCAAATTTTATTAGTCTGAGTTTTGACACTGATGTCAAACCTCTCTGCACGAATGTGAAGCAAAGCTTCTGTGCCTCTATCCCTTCAGCAAAGACACAGCGCCTCTGCCTTTCATCTTTCTGAGGTCGTTGCTCTGTCAGTCTCCTCAGCTGTAAAATGGACTAGCGGCAGCTCAGAGGGCTGCAGTGCAGAGCAGGCCCGCATCAGGTTTGTGCTGGGAAGTCTGAAGTGTGCAGCCGTAAGAAGCGTCTCCTGAGATAATGGAAACATTTTCTGGAAACTGTCTTGTCCTAAAAGCTTCTTAAGTGAAAAGAACGTGTGAGGGAAAAGTGCCCTGCTCTCTCTCCTTTGCTTCTTTCACTATTTCCAGGTATCACAGAGAGAACTATTCTTTTAGGAAGTGGACTTTAGCTAAGCGGCCAGATACTTTAAGACCGTTTGTGCCTGAAGCTCATAAGATGATTTTGATGCTCTGGTTTTATTTCTATGGGGAGATAAAAAAAGAAAATAAACAATCTTTGGATATATAGGATGACAAATTCTACCTAATGGAAAGGGGTGGCAAAGAAATTAGGGGGACAATGGAGTGGAATGCTTCTCCCGGACTGACTTTGGTTCTGTTTTTGGCAGCCTGGCATTGAAGACTAAATCTATACATCTATAAGTTTAGTTTATTAGTTGTATTCCAATTATTATTGAAAAATGACAGGTAGAACAAGAACATTTGTTTTAGAAATATTTTCAAAAATAATAAAATAATTAAAAAATATTATTGACCATTTTTATCTTCAATCACCATAAGACAAATCCGTTTTCATTAGGTGAAGCGATCGCCTATTTTCTTACATGCATATATATATATATATATATATACACGCACACAAGCACGAGAAACCAAAAGAGGAAAACATGTTTGTTTTATCTTTGGATGTCTTTTAAAGAGAGACCATTCCTTTTATGACTTAGCACATGCTTGTACAGAAAGGTATGGTAGACACAGCAGTAGTTCCAGAAGCAGAAAATCTAGGTTCAAGTTTTGACTCCCAAACTAACTGTTGTTCTTGAACAAACTGCATAACTATTTGGAACCCTGGTTTCCTCCTCTGAATGATGGGGATGCTGACAGTCCCTGCCTCTTAGAGTTATTGTGAGAATTAACTGAAATACTTCATGGAAGAAGGCTTGGCACAAGGACTTGCACGTGGTAAATGTTTAATAAATATTAGCTATTTCTACTTGGTTGCTGATGATATAGATATTTATCACCTGTGCTAGGTAACAATCCCCTCTAAATTGCTTAGAACATAACTGAATTAACGCCTTACATTGTAACACATCCAGAATAGTTGGGACATCATAAATAAAGACAATCTTTAATATTTAAAAATGGAATATAAATATCATTTGTCTTGCATAGCCTCTGGTTTTTAAGTGCAGCTGTGGGGGAACTGAAGGAAGAAAAGTACTAACACAGGAAGAAAAAAATCAATCTGATGGACGTGAATGCAGCCACCAAAGCAGCCTAGGGATTTATTCAATGACTCTGCTTTACTGTTAACCTTCACTCATATCGTTTATTACTTGGGAACTGCTGCAAAGAGACCACAAGTGAATAGAATAATGATGTTTTTATGGCTCTTAATGTAGATTGTTATTGAAAATCTGTCAATTTTACTGGCAAGTCTTTGGCTCAGAAATAAGATCTTCATTTATAATTTGCAAACAGTGATAACTAAAATAATGAGAAGTAACTGGGAAATAAAAAATAACTATTATGATAATTATCTTTCTCATTAAAAACATGAGGCATTCTATTATCGTTGGGATGTGCAATACTCTTAAACAGCTGCTGTTACTGAGCTAAAACACATCTGAATAGAAAAGAAAATACATTACTGATCACCCAAATGATGAAAAATAGGTACTGCTGAAAATGTGTGCAGAGTGGAACTGAACAGAGCACAGCAGGATGTACTGTCTGCATATGCAAACCAGAGTAAAACCACTTACCGATACTTCAGGAATGGGTTTCAACTTCTCTGAGACTTCCTTTAGGGGGCTTTTGTTTACTGAAGCTGGCATTTGATGGGCTGTGTCCTTCGTTTTGATAATGGGATCTGGAGTTTTCTGAGAGGGTTCACTTCTTCTTCCAGGGGGAGAAAGCCATGCTCTAGGCACTGAACTTGTTTGAAAGTTGTTTATATCTATCTGCTTCGCCAAGGAATTCTGGCTTTCTGACGCTCCTGCTTCTGTGTAGGCACTTTTTAGATATCCTTTACTCGTCTGCCTTGCAGCCTTCTCCAGCATGGTCTCTAATGTTAACTGAGTTAACCCTGAAGGACTAGTTGTTGGACCAGGAGAACCCTGGACGCTGTGGTTACCCTACAAAGGGGAACAAAGTGAAAATCATTTTGAGACAAAATGTAGGGTAAGTTACTGAGTACAGTTCTTAATAAGTTCATATATTCTATGAATAAGCCATAATTTTATACTTATTTTATTTGGTACTAAACAATTTGAGTTTCCAGACAATAAAAAGCTAAAGGAGCTTACCACCACCAAACCAGTGTCACATGAAATGCCAAAGGGTCTTCTTTAAGAAGAAAAAAAAAAGCCCATATGAACAGAATGTCAATAACTATATGTCTATCAACAATTACTACTTTAAATGTAAATGGATTAAATGCTTCAATCAAAAGACACAGAGTAGCTGCCTAAAAGTCGTGTGAGTTCTCTGTATATTTTGGAGATTAAACCCTTGTCTGAGGTATCATTGACAATTATAGTTTTCCCATACAGTTGGTTGTCTTTTTATTTTAATACTGTTTTCTTTAGCCATGCAGAAGCTTTTTATTTTGATGAGATCCCATTTGTTTATTCTTTCCTTTATGTCCCTTGCTCTAGGGGACGTATCGGTAAAAAAGTTGCTGCGTGAAATATCTGAGATTTTCTTGCCAATGTTTTCCTCTAGGACTTTAATGGTTTCAGAGCTTATATTTAAATCTTTTATCCACCTTAGATTTATTTTGGTGTATGGTGTAAGTCGGCGCTCAAGTTTCATTTTTTTTGTATGTACCTGTTTCTTGAACAGACACTTCTCCAAGGAGGACATACAGAGGATCCAGAGACACATGAAAAGATGCTCAATATGGCTAGCTATCAGAGAGATGCAAATTAAAACCACAATGAGATACCACTTTACAACAGTCAGAATGGTTACCATAAACAAAGCATCAAACAACAAATGTTGGAGAGGTTGTGGGGAAAAGGGGTCCCTAGTTCACTGTTGGTGGGATTGCAGACTGGTACAACCATTATGGAAAACAGTATGGAATTTTCTCAGAAAAATTAAAATCAACCTGCCTTTTGACCCAGCAATTCCACAGCTGGGATTATATCCTAAGAACCCTAAAACACCAATCCAAAAGAACCTATGCACCCCAATGTTCATAGTAGCACAATTTACAATAGCCAAGAGTTGGAAGCAACCTAGGTGCCCATCAGTAAATGAATGGTTTAAAAAATTATGGTACATATACACAATGGAATTCTATGCAGCAGAAAGAAAGAAGGAGCTCCTACCCTTTGCAACAGCATGGATGGAGCTGGAAAGCATTATGCTGAGTGAAATAAGCCAGGCGGTGAAAGACAAATACCATATGATCTCACCTTTAACAGGAAGCTAAACAACAAAACAAACAAGCAAGCAAAATAAAAACAATGACACTGAAATAGAGAACAGGGGGACAGCGACCAGAGGGGAGCGGGGAGGAAATTTCAGGGGACAAAGCAGAAGGATTTATAGGAACTGGTATAAAGGACACATGGACAACAACTAAGGGGGGTGGAAATGGGAGGGAGGTGGGGAGCATGGGGGTGGGGTGGGCTGGGATGGGAGTAAAAGACAGAATACTGTAGTTGAAACATAATTAAATTAAAAAAATCAAAAGATACATACACACTGGAAGTAAAGGGACAGAAAAATATATTTCATGAAAATGGAAATAGGAAAAATAGCTGGGGTAGCAATACTTGTATCAGACAATTATAGTTTAAAACAAAGGCTATAACAAGACACAAAGAAGGACCCAAGAATTCCACCTCTAGGTATTTATTTGAAATAAATCCAAAACACTAAATAAAAAAGGCCTGATGCAACCATATGTTCATTGCAGCATTATTCATAATAGCCAAGATATGGCTAAGTGTGCTCTAGGCACCACAGATGCTGGGAATATAATGGTAGGCCAGAATTTAAACCTGGCCATCCAAGCACTTTTTCCTGAAGGCAGCAAGGAGTTTGTAGGGCGATATGAGGCAAAGGAAAGCCACAAAATAGAAGGCATGGGGATGAGTTTGTGTGAATATTGTTTGTGGGATGTCCAGAGTGTTTTATGGAGATAGTAGAAAGGGAAGCCAATTAGGAGACGATCAAACTGTAATAACTGGAAACACAGAGGTGGCTGTGTTGAGACAGTGATGGTGATGATGGAGAGGCCAGCTGACCTCTCAGTTCTGTAGGAGGCAGAATATGTTGTATTTTGTGACTCTGGGAAGCTCTCACATAAACTCTGAGGTCCCTAATCCTGTCGAGTTATAATTTTCCCTTCCTGCTAGAAGCAGGTGGGATTTAGCAGACAACAGGACTCTCAAGAAAGGTCCACTCAGGTCTTAGAACCTCCCCTAGAAAACAGCTTGCCTATGTGTAGTAAAGAATGAAAAGTGCAGAGTGTCCAAGGATCTTTTATGAATATTTCTTCTCTGTACTCATTCTGGGCCTACATTTTGTCTATGCTGGTTTTATCTTCTGATACATATATTTCTTTATAAATGATAGAGAAACTAATTTTCCAGAGTCCCAGATAGGGTAAAGAGAAGATGGTGAGTGGGTGTCAATTCACATAAAGAATATTTCTGCATTTCCAACAGTACTGCAGGCACTGGAAAACCCTCTGTGCTGTCACTTAGTGGTGAGCTGTCCTTCACTACCACTTTGCCAACTCTGAGGAAATGCATATGGGTGAAGAATGCTGCCTTCCTGCAAAAACGGGAGAGTGCCAGAGACCTCAACAATGCCTATTGCCCCAAATTACCAGAAATTGGAAGGTAACTCTTGCAATTTTTGTTTGATAAAGATAAAAACACAAGTTTAGTTTTGTTTGGAGAAGGTAAATGGAGAATATTAGTATCTTCCAAGTTTTAGTTCTGAGAAGGTATGGGTGGAACTCGGATAGATTTGGTTTTAAATTTATTCTGGCTACTAGACAGTGTTCTGTCTTCTCCAAACTTAAAAAAAATTCAAGTTTAATTTTCTATAATTGTTATAAACAACTGCCAGAGGGATTTCTGTGACCAAAAGATCCCCAACATGTTAATTTCCATCATGCTTTCATAATAAAAACATACACTGTGGGTTTAAAACATATTGGACCTAAAAATAGATGGATACATGAAAATGGTATAATTATGACTTTTTGGGCCCAAATCTCTGTAAAAATCTGGAATTCCATCTTATATATGAAAAGGGAAGAAATTAAGGACTTTTGCAATAAACATTAATTCAAAAAATCTTTATTAAACTCCTGCTACGTGTAAGGGATGTTCTAAGCACTGCGTAAGATACAGAGTAAGAATAGCAGGAACACTGCCCTCAAGAAAAACAGAATCTAACAGCAGGGAGAGAGATACCTACAAAGGTAATGATTTCATAAGGTGGAAATTAGTAAATTAATGATTTAAAAGTTTCAGGTGTACTATTTTGAGAATTTTGAGGAATGCATCGAAAACCAGATGTTTGTTGTGGGGGTGATTTCTTTGAGAGTCCCCCCGAGTGCCATGGACATGAGTGAGTGAATATGGTCCAGACAGCTGGATCTGTTTGGGGAGGAGGAGTGGGCTGTGGCCAGTTTCTCAAGGGAGACAAAGGCCAGCAGAGGCCAGTTTCTCAGAGGAGAAAAAGGCCCTGAGCGCCCTCTTCCATAGCCTTTTATTGGGTTGTAATCACAGGAATACAGGCCGGCAAGGATCAAACAGTAGATAACATTTCAAAGGGATCTGAGGGCTTCAGAGTCTGAGTCAGTGTCTGTCAGGAAGAGAGTTGCAGAAACTTTGGGAGACATACTCATTTCCTCTCGGACCCTTATATGAATGAAAGCATTCCTAGCAGAGCAGATTTCACAGGTTTATCCGGAAGTCTTTGTGGCGACATCATTTAAAAAACACTTTAGGAAGCCTGTTTTTTCTACTTGCGGTGGGTCAGAGTAGAGATATTCATGAATATGCATATGGACATTTGTCTCACACGTTTCCTAATGTGATGGGCCAAGAAGTGGAGATGGACCAGGAAATGGACAGATTTAGCTGTGTTCCCTGGTGAGCATTATCTCAGTTGTATTGTATTTCTGTAATGATATGCTTCCATACTATTTTAAATGGAAAAGTCGAATAACTAGAGAATGCAGGCAGGGTACAAAGGGCTAGCTTACTTTGGCTGCCCCACAACCACTAAATCGGTTTACCCCAGATTCTGACAGGAGAATTAGGATAAATGAGAAAGGCAGGATGATATATGAGACTAATACCTTGATTTAACTTGGGTCAGCCTCCCCTTTAGAGAGGAAATAAATGGAGAATAAGAAATAGTGTAGTGTTTTCTGGTGCACTGGCTCAAACCCTATTTCTTTTATTTAGTAATGCCTTTGCCTTAGTAAAATAGATGGTATAGGTATAGGTGATGTTTATTGATCTCAAATATGTAGCACATTTGAGCTCAATATTTTTTGTACATTAATTTTCTCTGTATAACATACATTTGTTATATACATAAGAAGTTAGCTTACTATGATCTGATTGAAAAACAACCACTTTTCTCCCTTTGGTTTATGATTTAGCTACTGAAAACCTGTACAGCAATTGCGTATAATTTGTCAGAATAGTAAAGAAATTGTCAAGCCATTTTCACACCCCAATCATCTGTTCATCTGTTTTTCAGAAGAACAAACACAAAAAGATTTTGATTTAACTTAATCTATTTTTTTAAAAGTCCCAAATCTCTTGAACTGTTTGTCTTCTGGGATCAGAAGCATTTGTTTGTTAAATATTCAATCACGCCCCAGTGCCAGGAACATCAATAGAGTTTGCCTGATTAACTGTAGCACAGCATATGTACGCTGAGGATGAGAATGATTTCCCCAAGGAGCCAGCACCTTCTCTGTTGAACCACGTTTCTTACAAGGACATGCAGATGGGCATGTGGACAAGTTGTGGATACACAAAATGGATTGCTCGTGCTGAGCTTCAATTTTAAAAGATAATTTTAATGACTCTCCAGGGCCATCTACTTGGAGCAGATGGGATCTCGGCTTTTTGTATTACAACTTTAATGTTGAGTGAGTCAGGACAGAACCCTGTTTCAGCCTTTGTAAAAGTGGATGATTGTATTTATTTATATTTCAATTGATGTTTTAATTCAGTCCACTGTGAATAATGTCTTACATAACATTCTTAAAAGTTCTGTAACAAAACACATCTGCAATATTCCAAACACACTTTGATGGCAGCATCAACTTTGTAATTTAGACTGAGTCAGTAGGGGTTTTTCTTTTGTCCAGTGTTTCTATGACTAAATGTGTGAACTGACAGCACCTGTGAGTTGGGCTAGCAGACAACAGAGATGATATAGGTGCGTATTTCCAATCACAACCAAAGAGCACAGTTATTCACATAAACACAGCTAAAGATATTAGTCATAACAGAATGAAAAAATCATTTCTTTAATGATTGCAAGATTGACCATTCAAGTATATCTTAAATGTCCTTACTAAAAATCATCCCCAAGAAGTATATCTACTTTAACCTTTTGATTTTATAGGAAACTATAAAAGTAACACAGTTTTCTCTGGAGAGTAGTGTCTTATAATGCATTTTACTTGTTTATAAAGAAATAGAATGAAAGGAAGATGTGGCTTTCTAACAAGTAACTAACCTATAGCATGCTTGATATTAAAAGAGGTGGGGTGAGTTATTTTTGTGAACATCTTTAACCTGTAGCCAGTGATGCTTCATACAAAAATCATAGGAGAAATTACAAGGACTGTATGGGATGGGCAAACATCAGCATGTGAATGTTTGAGAAAGATGATGATACTTCTTTGATTGTTCAATACAAAAACATATTTTTCACTAAGTTAGATTTCATGCTTTTTTACTAATAACACTTTAAAGATTTCTTGTGAAAACTATCCATACCATATAGTTATCTGCAAGGTGTCTTTTATTTTTATTATTATTTTTAAAAGCTTATCTTATCTTTATGTTAAAGATTTATTTATTTTTAGAGTGGGGGGAGGGTGGAAGAAATGGAGAGAAACATGGATGGAGAGAGAAACATCGATTGGTTGGTTCTGCTACGTGCTTTAACCAGGGACTGAACCTACAGCCCCAGCATGTGCCCTGACTGGGAATTGAACTATCTACTTTTCCCTTTGTGGAACAATGGCCAATCAACTGAGCCACACTAGTCAGGGCAAGATGTTTATCTTTTGACAGAAGCTGCAGAATGCTATTCTTGGCAGACAAGAGTTTTATAACCTTTATCTGCCTACAACAATGAAGAGCCAAGTCATAGTCAAGGGGCCTGAGACTTTTTCAAAGAACAGAGCTTCAAAAGATAACAATGAAAACTGAAGATATGTAGATGTGAAAGGCCCAAAAGAACTACTCACACAGGATAATATTACATTCGCTCCGTAGGTTAGATAGTACGTTATGTGGTAATTTATAATACATGGGAATAAAAATGTCAGGCAATATATTAAAAATAGAGTCCTTCTATATTTTTTCTAACACATAAATTGACATTTAAAAGTTTTTAAAGGCTACACAGACATATAAGCAACTTCATGTGGGCCAGATAGATATCCTTTCTACTGTGCATGTAGCTATGTGTGAGAAAGTAATTCAAAACCATCAGTTAAGTGTGTAGGGGTGAATGGTTTATAGTATAACCCAGAAATATATGCTATCAGAAAAAAATAAAATGAAATAGCTTAACTACTGCATGCTAAAAAAATACCTTGAAAGCAACAATACCAGTAATGCTGAGAGGAAGGACTAAAATGGTGCTTTTAATCTGTTTGTAATTTTGTCCTTTAGGCCTCCAAAAAGTCAGATGGAGAGAAGATCTGAAAGCTTCCTATATACTTTGAACACTATAAGTAGTTAGTACACAAAATTCATGTCCAAATATGGGTATTTTGACTCAAATGTTCCAACTTGGACTGTTATACTAGACAAATTAACTGTCCTTGAAAATATCTGCTTTAGTGATACAAAGGCAGAGTTTGGGGGAAAAGTGACAGTATTTCTAAGTAAGAAATTAAATTAGGGGAGTAATAAAGCTAACTATTAGGGGAGTAATAAAGTAATTAATATGAAGCTAACTAGTTCAAGCTGCAAACCAGATGAACGTATTTGGAAGCCACGCTGAGAATAATGGCACAAGGTACAGAGACAGTGATAGAACATGCTTCTTCTCTTTCAGCCGCTGTAACGGTGTGAACGGCACTCTGTTTTAACAGCTGTCCTAAGATGATTCATCTCCCACGGTAGTCTTGATTTTATTGCTGTCCACAAAATACATTTCCACACTTTGCTTTTCAAATAGATGTGCAGCTTCAAAATTAATTGAGTATCAGTAATATTAGTATACATGACTGCCTAAGGAATAAAACATGCAGTACAGCAAAGACTAAGATGAGAATGCATACAAAAATTTTATACTTTTGAGGCTCTCACATTAATGAGGATCTGAGATGTGAATTAATTATTTTAGCAACTTGAATTACAAAGACAACATATCACTTTAAGCTTATTTTAATTAGCCTTTACTATCAAATGTGCTTTTCCTCTATCATAATAACATGATTTAAATTTGCCTAATTTATGTTACTGAATACATCTAACTTCCCTTAAAAATACTCAATGGTCTTATAGCAAATTAAGTATTTTAACTACAAATTATAAATTTCAAGCATAACAAGTCATGTAATTATTACTCATTCATCCATTATTATGTATAACATAACATTATGTTTTTTTAAGTATAATTTTGTTACCATAAGGTTACAACATTCTAAGATAATGCAAGTAGTAGTAAGGTTGCCTAAATTAACCGAACTGATTTTTGCCCAAAGACTATATATAAACTATTTTAAATTTATAATTCAATTTCCCAATGACTTATAAAATTAATGAATGAGAGAAGCAATCTTACGGGAAAAGAATTTGCCAACAAAACAAAACAAAACAAAACAAAAACTCCAAACAAACCAATCTGATAAAGAAGAGATCATTACAAATTCTAGAACTTGTTTAAATATAGCCTAGCATTTTTGTTGGTCATATTTTTGTATTTTAGATTTGTCTTGTTATTGCCTCTAACAGAAAACCCCCAAACTTGCAGAGTATGGCCAGGCTTCTGTCTGTCTCTCTGTGGCTGCCAGGGCAAGTGTCAACAATGAGATGGTCCCATTATGGACTCTAGCCCCACGCTCCTGGCCATGCTCATGGTCATGGCACAGGTGTGACTAAATAGCTATGCCAGTCAGAGTTTGGGTAATGCATGATAAGTTTATTTTCAATTTAATGTAGTTGGTAATAAGTATATGTGTGCATAATAAACATTGAAGGGTGCCAGAAGTAGAGTAGCTAGTAGCAAAAGAAAGTCATAGAAGTAAGAATAAATTTAAATATTCAAAACTAATATTCTTCATTTTCCTGTGCAGCTCTATTGCTTCTTCTCAGTGCTTATCTTCCTGTGGTATTATTTAAAGGGTAGCTTCCCCATACCATGTCCCTCAAAGTTTTCTAGAGAACTACCCTTTCCCACCTGCCATGAAATTCCCACCATCACAGTGATTCTTTTGGGTTAGGAAAGATAGATGGTGCATAAGACAATGGGTCTAACCCACTAATGAAATGGTACTTATTAATTGATCACATTAGCCAATCAATACTGCAGAGAAATTGACTGCTGGAGTGGGGACAATACCAGATGTTGAAGACAGGTGTCCGTTTTACAGTTTTATAGCCTTAAGTTATTCAAAGTGAAAGGAGCAGAGATGTCCACAGCAACATTTAAAATGCTGTTTTCAAATGTACTATTTTATGCATAAAGGAGTTTGTAGTACATTTATGTTTGGTATAACTAATAGTTTTATCACATGCAGAAGCAAAGGTACTATAAGAAAAAGGATTCCCCCATGCACTTTGCTACAGAAACTCATTAAAAGTTGCAAAAAACCATAATTACTGCCTGAATAATCTTACCATATTCTCAACTGGAGCTATGGATTTCATCTACATCTCACTGTCCAAAGGGGCATTCTTGATCAATTATAATTTTTAAAACAAAGTGTAGTAAGCATATACAAGTTTTTCTAATTATTTCTATAATTTTTGCATAGAAAGGATTTGTATAATTTTGCATTGAAAGGATTTATATAATTTTACTAAACCATAACCTGACTCTGATCTGCTTTTTAAACACAGTTTCCAAGAAAATATTCATGTCTAACATTTAAGAATAAAGCTAAAAAAAATTCACAGATAAATTCATTTTGTATGAGGAAGAAAGGTTTATCATCATGTTTACTTAATAAATGTTAAGACCTATATTCAGTCTGGTTTTTAATAAGTTTTTTAAAATAAACTTTTAATAAATTTACTAATTTATAAGATATATTTGTATTCTAAATAATTGCAAACAAAAAACCTCCTGCAAGGCAAGTCCCAGAAGTAATCCATGATTCATTATCTCAACCTTAATTGGCACAACTCTTGAAATTCTGGGACCATATGGAAAATAATGAGTCCTAATAGGTCTAAGGTGAAAAGATGTCAGGGAATAAGGAAGCCAGAAAACCATCAATTCAGAATGCTTAGCAACTGCAACACCATTTCTCCAGAGATCAAGAACAATGTGTTCTCAATGTTTTACTGGTTTCACTATCATACAACTAAACCGCATATTATTTCTCATTCTGTGAGACAACGATTAAAATGAAAAGACAGAAAACAAAACAAAAGCTGGTTTCTATAATTAAAAATGAAATTGGCTGACTGTTAATAAAAAAGGCAGCAATTTAGAGTTACCATAACAACCTAAGGCAACTGTTGAGTGACATTGCAATCTGCTGCATTTTTATAAATAGCAGTTGATTTCCCCTCTTTTATTTCAACTAGTTTTACTGTTTCTGGGAGGTAATGGAACCACTGTGCTTTAAAACTATTTCACTCATCAAACAGTGTACCTCTTCACTGCTGTCACTGCCATAAAAGTCATCCTCCGATTGGGTGACACTGGTGTCCTCTTTTAGATCCAAAATAAATGGGCACCCCTCTGGGGACATAGTCTGAGTCCTTCCACGAGGCGCCGATCGTGGTCTTGATGAAAAAGTGAAAATGTCCTTTGGAACAATTGGGGGTTTCTCTGCCTGTTGGTCACGTTCACTTTCCATACTGGCTTCCAGCCACAGCTGTGAAGTGTGGCAGGAGTCGTCTTCCAGAAGTAGAGACTGTCTGCTGGGTGCCAAATGGGAAATGTGATCATCATTTTCGGGAAATATCCATTCATCTGACATTTGGAAAAGATGACAGAAATTAGTAGCATTTCATAAGTGTTATTATAGGCAGGTAGTCAAGTTAAAATTTCTTGTTGAAACAAAGATTTATTAAATAATGTAAAAGTCAAGGTAACAATTTATCCACCATGTTGTAATCTGCCAACATTTAACCCACAGATCAGTGCCCATAGCGATGGGCAACTCACGTACACTTCCTCGCCATCTGAGTTGAAACACTGGCCGAGTGATTTATGTCTGAAATAATTATCACCCGTCTTACAGCAAGTTCTTTATAGCACAGCTTCATTAACTTGACATTCCAGAGGGGGAAAATCTTCCAACTTGAAGAGGGCTGACTCACTAATATCTTTTTTTAACTGCGGGAGGACAGAGTACTTAACAAATTTCTTTAAACAAAGTATCTGGGCATTGTCTAGATTATAAATCATGGAGGGGAGGAAACCATGACAAGGTCAACAGCTTTTTCTCTCCATTCTGCTGATTGAAATGGGAAAATTCACAGACTAATTTGAGTAGACTTTTTCAAGTAATAGTAAATCTATAGAAATATTCATTAATGTGACTGTTGAATTCTGCTGGTGAAAAAGACCTTTCTGTTTAATTTTGGGAGAGAATGTTTTGATATGAATTTTGTTTTTCACAGCATTATTTGTTTTCTTTAAAAATACCACATACTACCACTGAATTACAGTTTTATCAAAACTTAAAAAAATTATCGTCTTATAATCTCAATGTACTCAACATTGAAATAGATTTTATAACTATGATCCAGGCAAACTAGAAATGACAAATCTTTATAATGAATATCATTAAAAGCATGCTTACTTTTTTTTTTTAAGAATGGCATCAAAAAAGAGTTGAGCATTTTTTCTAACTTGGTCTATTTTTCTTGAAACTTAATTTTGCTGCACTGTGTCAGTGGTGAAAATTTTACTAGAATCTGTGTTCTGCAGAACTACAACATGGACATGGTTATTTTATCCCTGACTCTTGAATTCTATTATATTTTTATCATCACAAGGAAAGTAGCTCAGAGATATTTAAGATTTGCTGACTTGAACCTTTAAAGCCTGTACTACAAAATCACAAGCAACAAACAAGACCTTTAATAAAAATAACATTGATAGTACAGATAAAATTATATTCATCACAATTGTATTCATCTGTTTCTTGATTTAAGACTATCACTATATAACAGAACTTGCCTATAAAAAAAAAGGACAATAAATGTACACTTCTTAGAACAAATTTATTAGGGATAAGGCTTGCATATATTCAGGGACAGAGTCCAAGTAAATGGCCAAAGGCAGGCTGAGTCTGCTTCATCCGACCACCTACATGGGGACTTGGAGGGACCTGAATAGCTGTGGGCAGGTGAAATGAGTAGAGGCGCAGGGCTGTCCTTTTCTGGACAGCAAGCCCCTTGGCAGGGTGCTAAGCACATAGAAGCTGCTTTGTAAACAAAGTAGATGCTTTAATAAAGGTTGAAAAAGATTACAAAAACCAGTGTGTTGCATTATGTTAATGGGTATGTAAAAATAGTGGAGGAAAAGATAATAGAATCTTCATTATGCAATTAAACAACTTGTATGACCTATTGCCAAACATATTATTAACTGTCGAAAAGTCAAAGTGAAAGGAGTGTTTTTACACCAAACGAACTCTAATTATCTCACTACCACACACTTTTTTGGAATTTGTAGTTTTACCTCCAATATTTCCATATCAATTGTAATGAATAATTTGGTGTATTTTCTTAGGAAAATATGTAAATTACTGTGTAATCACAATATTGCAGCAAACAAGATAAATGCAAGAATGATCACCTAAACATCTAATTAGTTTTTCTACACAGTCAGATTTATGCTAGAGACACTAATTGTGCTTAACATTTTAATGAAGGTTTCAACATTGCATAAATAAGACTGACAAACTACAAACAATTATAGTTTATTTTCCTTTTTCCCTTGCTCAAAAACAATTTGAAAAAAAAAACCCACGACAATTTGCCTTCGTAAAAGTACTACACACCTGCTGGGCAAGATATGTTGATAGGCTCAAAGCTCTATAATCCAACCATCTCCGCTAGAAAGAGGGCTGAAGAATGCAACAACAGGTAATCTTAGAGGGTGACAATATCATGGGAAAACTTCAGAATTTGAAACTTTCATTCTGGACAGCACAACCAGTGCATTAAAACTTGAAAATAAAAATACTCTTTCATCCACTGAAGTTTGACATAAAATTGAGGCTAAAAGGAGATTTACAAAAAATGATAGATTTTAGCAAATGACTGCATCATAAAATTTCAAAATGACAGGAATTGAAATATTTAACACATTTATAGCTTATTAATTATGGACCATTATGGCATAATAAAGATGCAAACCTGCTTCCTGGGAAGACTGGGGTGCTGCAGTGCTGAGGTTCAATGCGTCTGCTTTTTGCTGGGACGCAGAGGTGAGGGCTGCCGCTCTATCTTCATTCCTGTTATTTCCTGAAGAGCTGCCTTTATTAGAATAAATATTTTCCTCTGTTACTTTTTTAGTGTTTACAAAAATTAACTTTTGAAGGTTGGTATGAATTGGGTAAACTTTTCACTATGATTATTGTAAAGCATGTTAGAGGTGACACTGTAGATTATGAGTTTTCGGTAGAATGTTTTAAGATGCACTCAGCTGTATTTTTGTGGAGGTTCATCATATAATTCCTGGATGTCTGCATGGGGACATTTGTTTTACAATATGTAATAAAAGGAATTCTAAAACCCATGTATTTTTAAAGGGTCTTATTAAATTACAATTATTACTGAATTCCAGTCTTAAAGCAAGCTCTTTCCTTTTCAGCACCTTAAGAAAATAGGCAAGAATGACACCTAAACCTCTGTATCATTACTGCAGAATTAATTTTTCTGTCTTCCATTTTATAAAAATAACATCGAATCTAGCAAGCTGAATTATGACCTACCCAAGAATCCTACATTTTTCCTATTTATTTATTTATTTATTTATTTAGAACCCTACATTTTTGAGAAATTATGCTAAGAGATATGCACATGATACATTCTGGGCTTGATGGAGGACAGATTAATGCATACGCATCTATGCATACATGCCTCAAATCCATTTCTAAAGGAACAGCTATAACAGCCACCTACATTTATCTAATGTTTGCATGATCGCAAAGAGTCAAAGTTTTAACCTACAATATATCAAATGACGAGTTTAAAGAGGAGACAGCAAATACAAAAACAATCTGTAAAGGTTCAATGTAAAAAGAAGAGACATAAATGAAACATGAAAAATTATGGGTTAAGTTAAATTTTAGCAGGCAGAAACTTCCTCTATCAAATATGGGCTATTTTTAAAAAACAGTGATTTAAACTTATTCAGCCTTTGAGAATAGAAGTAGAAAGTCCTTTATTTCTGTGGTACTGTCTATTTAATCCAGAAAATCTCTGTTAGGACCGTAGAGCAACTCTTTTGCAGAAAATCTGATTTTCATAATCCCTGTAGAACAGACATTTATATTTTAAATGAATCAGTTCATAATCCTTTGAAATTTACAAGCTGTAGAGAGAGCTTTCATTGCTCTGAATAATAAACAGATGTAAGATAGTATTGAATTAGTGCCATACCGCTGGGTGTCTCTGTCCTTTCTCTGCTGGTGCTTTTCAACCTTAATCTTCTCCTGTTATTATTCTTATCTGCTGATGGTTCTTGAGGAGGATGTGGATGAATAATATGCAGATTGGCTGGTACATTTTTGGATGAAAGAACAAAAAGCCAGAACAGAAAGTACTATATGGTTTGAAGTGACTCAGTAAATATAATTATAGCTATAATGAGAATGTTGATGTATCATTTTGACATTATGTAAAGCTGTATCAAAAACTTATTTCTTCACAGGAAATAGATGTTTATTCCCATTCTAATGTTAGAATTTTATCAGGCCTTCAAAATTACTAATACATTTTATACATGAAATATAACTTATAGAGAGCTATAAGTAACTTCATTAATGTTAATCATACAACATGCTAGATTAAAATATAAAAAATGAAACTGAGAAGCCAATGCTGAAAAATTATTGCTTCCTTTAAAAGAGGAAGCATAGTTAAGTACGATGCAGTAAGAACTTAGAGGGTAGTTCCCAAAAGAACACTGGAAGACTAGGAAACCTAAAGAATTCTTAAGTGTAATTTAATTCTGTAATAATAATAATATTCATGGCAGCATTTAATAGTTACTGAGTGCTTAATTTCTTGGCACAACAGGATATGCTTGACTGACTTTTTCTCACTGAAACCTCACAAAGACTCTTAGAAGCAGCTGTTATTCGTCACTACTACTAGCACCAGTAGTAGATGTGTACAGCCTCATGTGCCGGATGAGGAAACAGGTTTACAGGGCTTAAGAAACTTGATCAAGGTCTCACAGATAGTGGTTGGGCCGGGATTGAATATCTGTGTTATTTATTTCCTTACTCAGGTTTATACTCCATGGCAGACATAGTTTGTAATAGTGCTCATTAATTTCTAAGTCAAATAAAATGAACCCAAGCGCCTCTGTTTCAACTCTCACAAAAGACTGGTAAGAGTGAAAAAACTGACAGGAAGTGGGTTCTGATCTCAGTTCTTTCCAATAATTACAGATTACAAATCACTTTACCTCTCTGTTAACCTTGAACTCTCAATCTGTAAAATTAGACAAAGTCTTTTCTTTACCAACAGGGTTGTTTTAGTATCAATAAGAGAAGATGAAGAATGCTTTACAAATGGAAAAAATTAATTAAAATATAAAATTACATTAAAAATCTTAAAATGCACATGAAGTTCCCAAAATATAGTGATAAAAAGATGTTACATTATTTCTGTACCAGTCTTCATAAAGTAAAAACACAGGGTACTACAGGAACTTGAAATAATAGAATGATAGATTCCATAAGATTATAATAAATATATAAGAATTCTAAACACATTTCAATATATATGATACTATTCATTTTTAAGTGGTATTTGGACTTAAGGTCTAGTCATGAGTATAACTTCAGATTTATCTTAACAAGGACATTTCTCACTGTTTTCACTAGCTGTCAGTCTTTATGCACGATTCATTCTTACCATGAATAGGTACAGTCTGCTTTAGTTGGTGAAGATTTTCTTTATCTCCTTGCTCCTCAGACTCAGGTATCAGCAAGGGTGACCTTTCCTCACTGCTAACACACTTCTCTACTGTGGACCTCTGGCACGGCCGGTTATTTTTGGACCCAACAGATCTTATTGTCTATAAAGGCAAGAAATTAATCTTCATGTTTTAAAATATAGGAACTACCTTTGTTTTCTGTAGACTCTACACAGAAGAAGTAATATTTAGACAAATAAAGAGTGAGAAAAAGAGAAAAAATGAGGTTAAAAAGTTGGTGGAAAATTAGAAAAGAGAAAAAATAATGTGAGATAGAACAGACGACAAGTCTCCCAGACATGTGAGCTAAAATGCTCTTATTTGCTGCACTTCCTCTCTAGTAGAACTGAAAATCACTGTGCATGTCAGAAGTTAAGAGGAAATTAAAAATAAAAAGATAACATTTGAGAAGCTGTTCATTGTAAGGTGTCTGGTGATGATCCAACTCCTTCTTGAAGGAGACCACAAAATATGCTCATGTATATTTAAGTTTTGTGAGCATATTTAATAAAAATAATACTAAAAAATGTTAATTATGTTGACATGGCAAAAAGAAAACAGCTTTGAGGTCTTTGAAAGTCCAGAATTTCTGATCAAAATGTATTCAAGCCTGCTGCTTTTGGCATGTAGTCTCACTACCACCCCCAACCCCTGCATTGGAAAAAACCCTTCCCTTCCCACGTCACTCATGTGCAAACAAGCTCTTCAAACCTTGCTCCTACCTCAGTGGATATCCTCATGTTATTTCTTCTGCCAGACAGTGGAGGTGGTCCAAGAACTTTGGATCCAAAGGCAATATGACAAACATCTTGATTTTTACTGTTCCTCACACCTCCTGTTCCTCTGTTAATAAACTGATCTGTTTTATTAAAGGAAGGTAATAATGGTTCATTAGTGTATGTAATGGTAACATCATGTTGCAATTTTTCTGAACACCCCCCCCCAAGTACTTAATCAGAATGCAGATACCAAGGTCCAATATCAGCTCTATCACATCTGTAGGATTAGAATGTTGGGTGTGGGGCAGGGGTGGGTGTCTGGGGAAAAAAATCTATAATTTTAACAAGTTCCACTATCACTTAACAAGGTCACTATCATTTGAGAGCTAGTACCACAAATATCTTTCCTCAAAGCAAAAAAGAAAGAAAAATGAAAAAGTACTAAAAATACATCTTATTTTCTCTTTAAGGGAATAATTTAAAGAAAACTATTCAGCTCAGCTAAAGAAATATTTGCTTGAGCACTCTTGGGCATTTCCTAGAGGTTGTCAGTGACACAAAATAGATAAGATATATTGCTCGCCCTCAGGGAGTCTGAAAGGAGGTGACAGCACAAGTAAAAGTAACTACAACAGCAGGCAGACCAGTGGAAACGAAGCATAAGTGACCTCTTGAATGGACCTGGAGTGACTGATAAGATTTCAGTCAGTTAGAGATTCAGGGTGCCCTAGGCTGGGGACAGTGCCTGAATGAAGGCATGGAAGAGCAACAGGGTAGAGCAACAGGGTATGCTTGGGGAATAATGGAATTACCATTTTAGCTGGAAGGATAGACTAGGGTCACATTGCGAAGAGCGTTCAAATGCTTAAAGCCTATTGTAAACTGACTAGGCAACAGGGAATCACTAGGTTGGGAGAGAAAGAGAGTAAATGGGCATCACCGCCAGGATTAGGCAGTGTGATCACTGAACGCTGATGCTTTTTCTGCCTGGGAACAGAACTGAATGACATTTCGGTGTCTTCCCTACAGTGACTACATGGGCCATATGATGGAATGGGAGGAGTGTAAACCACTTCCTGGCACCTAAAATCTCCTGCAAAATCCTGTTTTGCTCTTTCCTCACCTTTTAACAAGATGCAGGAGACTCAGGGAAAGACTTTAAGACGCCAGAGGAGTCACTAGATGAAAGGAGCCCAAGTCTCCGAATTACCCTGTGGAAGGCTGCCTAAGGAACTCTTGATTAGACCAGAACTGTGGGGTTCTCTGTGGCAGTAGTTAGCCTCCTCGTTCTGATAAAGTAGGTGAGGGTTATGTCCCTTAACTCGACTGCTCACAACCTAGAAAACCTGCTGTGACCAACCTGAGTATTACGATGTTGGCTCTGAGTGAGTCCACATTTGTTCCACAGTTCTGGAAATTTAAGAGCTACTGGCCACTTTCTGTCTGAGCTATTCCCTTGAAAACATTCTTTTTTAGCTAGCTGGTCTCATTAGCCTCTACTGTGGAGCTGCAATTTTACATGTGGTGGTATTAAAAATCACTTTTCCACACAATAGCACGAGAAAACGCATAAAAGTTTGTGAAAACATATCATACTTAGAAAGCTCCAAATACTTATATGTGAGTGGAATATGTGTGAGTACATGGGTGTTTTTAGGGCCTATTTTTGAGTTTGTAACAGATAAAGTTGAAGAGATGGGCAGGGTTAGACTGCTGAATTGATGGGATTTTTTCCTGGAGAGAAGATCTCACATGGAAGCTCAGTGGTGAGAAGATACGCTATTCCGGTTTTCTTCAAATTCCCAAAGCCCTATTAAGTAGAAGACATTTCATTTGCACAAATGGCAGAATCAGAACTAATGGGAAGGATTTGGGCAGTGAATTTTCTGTCATTTCAAAGGTGTTCAAGCAGAAGTGTGGAAAGCTATTCTGGATGTTGCAAGGCAGATTCCGATTTCGGATGACTCCCTGTTTTCTGTCTCTGGCCTGTGCTCTCTTCTGAGCTCCACTCTTTGTATCCCCTGGACACTTGAACGGGGCTTCTTTGATGTCTCAAAGACACCTCAAACTGAAAACCTGGTCTAACGAATGGCACCAAAATCCCCCCAGTTTGAAAAGCCAGAATCTAGGTGTCATTCCTGACACCTCCCTCCATCCTCTTCATGTCCAATACACGGCTGCTTCTCTGCGTCTCCTCCACCAGCAATGAATTGCAAGCGACCATCATCCCTCTCCTGGATGATTTCAAAGCCTCTCGAGTGACCTACTACATCTGCCTGGCTCCCTGTCCCATGCCTGTTCCACAGTGCAGCCAGAGTGGTCTCATTCAAACATAAATCTGATTGGGTCATTTACTTTCCCCACTTAAAACTTTTCAGTGGCTTCCTTGCTGCTCTTAGGATTAAGAAAAAAGCCCTTAAAATCACCTGCCAAAATCTGTGTGTTCTGTCTTCAGTTCACACCTTACGCCCCTCATTTTCTGCCCTGTCAGCAGACTGGCCTCCTCAGTTCTTCTTGCCTACCAGAGCATTTGCACATGCTGGCCCCCATGGCTAGAAGACCCCTTTTTCCTCTAGGCTGTATGTTTCAGCTCATGTATCACTTCCTTAAACAATCTTCCAGACCATTCTGATTGCGGTAAATTCCCCCTCGTATAGGTACTTCCATAAACTTTCCCTCACAGAACTTGTCAGACTTGTATTTTCATATGTGTTTATGGGATCCTCTGGTAACATGTGCTTCAGTAGATATAAACTCAGTGGCCCACTTTGTCACCCCTAATTTCTGGTGCCTAGCTCTGTGCCTGACATAGAGTACATAATAAATCTTTGCTGAGGAAAATGAATGGGTCACTACATGTAACGGATCAGAAGAGAAATTGGATTAAATTGCTAAATATTTCTAACTATGATTAAAATTTCATTTTAAGAAAAACCCAATGGGGGTTTTATGTGTAAATCGAGGAGGAAGACTGAACAGAACTGACAAACTGGCAGGATGCGGGGGATGAGAGAGAAGGGTCAACAATGACCAGGACATTGATATTTACATGAATGGTGTGACTCTCAAAAGCGGCAGTGCTGTGGTGCCTATTCAGGTTACAGGTGAAATTTTGTAGTGTTTAACAAATAGACTTGGCTATGTGTGAATCTGAATTTTTTTCAGTCATTTATAAATATCCATTTGGAGTCAACAAAACACCATTAGTCTCTCAGGATTAATAATATGAAGAAATGACACACAAATTCCAGGTCCACTGGAAAACTCTACCACAGACTGATCATTTGTACCTTTTGTGACCAGTAAAACAGATCCTGGACTATTGATTTTGTTCTCAGATGTGGATTTCCCAGAAAGGAGCAGCCACTGAGGGTACTGAAGGGGCTGAATGGGATACGGCCTAGGTCTAGATGGGAATTTTCAGTACCAGAGCAAGAGCTTTTTTTCCCACTTCCAGTGATGGGAACCATGAGGCTATGGTTATAGCTTTCTTTCGAACATCTTACAGTGGCAATTTCCTTGATGTTTTTTCTTCTTCTTTATCTATATGCAGGTTCTCCCAGTTAATTTAAGTTCCTTTGAGTAGGAAGACCACTTTTGGGTACTGTACGTACCCCTACCTGATGACCCAGCATAGCACATGGTAGACAAAGGATAAATCTCACCCAAATTGTAAGCAGTATCCAAGATAAGAGGAGGATTTTTGGGAGGAGGGACTACTGAAAAAATCATACTGAAAAAGGTACAAACTCAAGTGCATTTTACTCAAAGGTATTTTACTCAAGTGTAGAATAAGTTAGTCATGGGATGCAATGTGCAGCATGGCGACTATAGTTAACATTGTGTCGCACATTGGAAAGCTGCTAAGACAGGAGATCTTAAAAGTCCTCATCACAAGAAAAAACTTCTTTGTAACTATGTTAATGAGGCTTAATGTGGTGATAATTTTACAATACATACAGATATTAAATCATTATGTGGCAACCTGAAACTAACATACAAGTCCAGCACAAATAGTGCCCCCTTTTATTACAAAAATTTTTGTTACAAAATCATAAGCATGTAATTCTGTTTCATAACAATATCACACTCAAGCACACCATATGACATTTTAGATGAAATGTTCAAAGGAAAACTATAAATTATTACACCCATATTATTACCCTACCAACCACATTTAAGCAGGTGTTACTTCTGCTGGACCTTGTACAATAATGTTTATGAAGTTATACCAATAAAGTAAACAAAATCAATTCCAGCTATAATTCCAACAAAATAAACATATCAACTGGTTCAGTTATTTAAAAAATGAAAATTCCTAAGTACCTTGAATTCCTTAGAATTTTTGTTTAGCAGTGAAAATAAAAGACATACCAAAACCTGATTGAATATAATCCCCTAGTCCCAGAAAAGTATGCTTTCTGTATTTTTATAAGACTATATGCTATAGGATTTCTTCAAAGAGTAATATACTACTATGTTTTTAAATGTAAATTTATTTTTTAACTTTATAAATTTTAGTACACTTTTTTTCCACAAAGTACACCAAGGCTCCACTATTTAGTATCTCTTTAATGAACAGAGCTTTGTAAACTTAGTACAATTAACACATTCTTTTAAAAAAATTTTTATTTAGTTATTTTTCAAGTACAGTTTTCTGTCTATTTCTCCCATCCCAGCCCCCCCCATGCTCCCCACCTCCCTCCCATTTCCACCCCCCTTAGATCTCGTCCCTGTGTCCTTCCTATTTGTTCCTCCAAATCCCTCCCCCTTTTTTCCACTTAAATTCCCTTCCCTCTCCCCTCTGGTCACTGTCCCCTTGTTCTCTATTTCAGTGTCTTTGTTTTTATTCTGCTTGCTTGTTTATTTTGTTATTTAGCTTCCTGTTAAAGGTGAGATCATATGGTATTTGTCTTTCAACACCTGGCCTATTTCACTCAGCATAATGCTTTCCAGTTCCATCCATGTTGTTGCAAAGGGTAGTAGCTCCTTCTTCCTCTCTGCTGCATAGAATTCCATTGTGTAAATGTACCACAATTTTTTGATCCATTCATTTACTGATGGGCACCTAGGTTGCTTCCAACTCTTGGTTATTGTAAATTGTGCTGCTATGAACATTGTGGTGCATAGGTTCTTTGAA